AAGGCCCTTTATGGACTGAAGCAGGCCCCTAGGCAGTGGTACTTGAAGCTGCGAGGAGTTTTGGAGGAGATCGGCTTCACTCCCTCAACGGCCGATCACTCATTGTTCATGCTTGGCGAGGGGGAGCAGAGGAGCTTCATGGTGGTGTACGTGGATGACATCCTCATCTTTTCACCCTCATCTGACCTTGTGAAGGAGGTGATGCTGAAGCTTCAGGACAAGTTTAAGTGTAAGGCCCTTGGTGACGTCAACTTCTACCTTGGGCTTCACATTGAACGTGATGTGGAGAAGCGGTGCATGCGGGTGCATCAACGGAAGTACCTGGAGGCATTGGCTGCCAACTTTGGGCAGAGTGAAGGCCATGTGGCTACACCCTTTCCCTCTGGGTTCAAGTGTGTGAAGGGACCAGAGGAGGAGAGCGTTGGTGAAGAGGAGAGGCGCCGATTTCACTCGTTGGTGGGCAGCCTCATGTATGCGGCGGTAAACACCCGACCGGACGTCGCGTTTGCTACCGGGCAGCTGGCTAGGGTTGTGCAATGCCCTAATGAGGAGCAGGTAGCAGCTGGAATGAGGGTGGCCAAGTATCTTGGCCAAACACCGACCGTTGGGCTGCAATACTCGGCGGCGGCACAAAGGCGCCAAAAGGGCGCGGATGGTGTTGAACCCGGGCGTTTGTTCCTCACCGCCTACTCGGATGCTTCATATGCATCAGAACCAGAGGACATGACAAGTGTGGGAGGCTTCATATGCTGTGTTGGTGGAGGCCCAACTGCTTGGGAGAGCAAGAAGCAGGTTGACCAAGCTTGAGCTCGGTGGAGTCCAAGTACATGGCACTCTTCCGTGCCGTACGGGAGATTGTGTGGCAGCGGCGTTTGTTGGCTGAATTGGGGGAGGAGCAGCAAGGACCTACCCCACTGTACTGTGACAGCCAGGGTGCCATTGCTCTTGCTAAGAACCCTGTGTTGCATGGACTCACGAAGCACATGAGGGTGAAGTGGCATTGGACGAGGAGCATGGTAACGGCGGGTGAAGTTGAGTTGCGCTACGTGAAGACCACGGGGCAGCCGGCTGACATGATGACCAAGAGGCTGGTGGAGCAGCAGCATTGGAAGTGTTGCAAGCTGGCTGGGATGGCTCTGAACTGAGAGAGCAACATATCCTAAGGCCAACAATCCGAGGGGGAGTTTGTTGGTGCAACCCTACGGTTTGCACTCGGCTTGTTGTCCGTGTGCGTGAATGTGTGTGTGTATGGAATGGTATGAGGGCATGGGATAATATATATTTCATGCTTATAATTGTGTGTGAATGTTGAGTCATGATGTCGAGTGTGTGTGTCGAGTCAATAGCGAGTTATCGCTAGACGCGTGTTACGCGGTCGTTTGTGTCTCGCGCGCGGTTTCTATTTTGTCGTGCGCGGTTTCTATTTTGTCCTGTGTCGAACGTTCGGCGTGTCGCAGGTGTGTGCAGCAGACCCATCAAGAACTCAAGGATGAGTTTGTGATGAAGAGCCCGAGCCTTGGTGTCAAGCCTCAAGTGATTTCGAAGCTTGCCAAAAGGGTACACCTCAAGATATTGAAGATAGTTACATTACTTTGTGTAGTGTAACATTTCACTTGGTGTAGGCCCTAGTGAAGAGTAGTTTCGAGACCCTTCGTGGTTGGGGACAGTGTGGCACTGTTACACATCACTGTACCTCGGCTCTTGGGGTTTGTAGGAGCTGGGAGTCATTCCCAACTCGTAACTCTTCCTATCTTGTGTTCTAAGACTATAGTGGCTGCCATAGTACCGTTCGTTCAAACCGACGCTGTATCGTCAATTCTTTATCAAATCGTGCAATCTAAATTGCTAATTGTAGACGACGTGAAGACGCTCCAGATCCAATTTGAATCAAGTCATTTGCAGCTGTGAGCAGAACGCTATCAACGTTTGAAGCCGCTGTGCAGAAATCCGTCTGTGCTCTCTATCTTTCGTTTTAGGCACATTCAAGCCTATTGTGACTATAACAGGACACAGCCATTTGTGTTGACCGGTCACTGGGACTCTTCCTACGCTGACGACGCGGAGGCTCAGCATTCGACTCAGGGTTACTGCTTCAGTCTGGGTGCTGGTGTTGTGTCGTGGAGGTCTCCACGTTCGTCGTCTGTGGCTTCGTCATGTGCAGAGGCAGAGATCTACGCCGGTGCCATGGCGGCACAGGAGCTTCGCTGGTTGATCTTCTTGCTCGCCGACCTTGGTGAGCGGCCTCGCTCTGCACTGACTTTGTACGCTGACAATAAGGCCATGATCCTCGTGTGTCGAGAGCCTCGGCTGGAGAGCAGAGTGAAGCATATTTACGTGAGGTACTTTCTCCTAAGAGAGCTACAGCGACGCGGCCAGGCACACTTGGACTTTGTGGCCTCAGAGGCCAACACTGCCGACGTCTTCACCAATGCCTTGGCGCCTGGTGACCACCACGGGTTCTGTGTGCAGCTAGGGCTTGTTGAGGTTTGCCCACTGTTGCTTTAGTGTTGCTTCTTGTTGCGTGTTCTGCTTGTCATTGCCTTTATATATATTGTGCTCTCTTGAACTGGCCTTGTGGCCGCTTGCTTGTGCTCGGAATTTGTGTGGTGTCCTTTAGATCCAACCTGAGCTTGCTTTGCTTCTTGTCTTGACTGGTCTTAGCCAGTCCCTCAGAAGTCAGGAAAAAAACGCTGATTTGCCCTTGAAAAACTTTTTTCCAGGGTTTTTTTGGGGCCTAAGGCTGATTGGAAAGTGTTTTTTTCCAGGTAAGGACTGATTTTTCAGGCAAGTTATTTGTACCAACACTGAAATTTCAGGCAAGTTTCATGTACCAACACTGATTCGAAACAACACTAACGAACCGAGTCCTGTTGCTGAAAATGCGCGAAGTCTTTGGAATTTGCCGAAAAATTCGCCTGTGACTGCGTGGCAACCCGCCAGCATGCGGGATTGACCTCGGAACATTTCCCTTCAGAGGTCGACATTCTATTGACTGGGCCATTTCAGCCTACATATTGCTCATTAATCCTAAATTAGACCTCGAGAAAGTATTTTTTTGTACCTTAAAACCCGCAGCCTGAATTACAAAAAAAGTTGGAGGTGTTAACACCCCCCCCTCCCGAACCAGGGTGGTTACCAGGTCTCACCTCCAAAACGTGAGGAAAGTCGCAGGGTGCGTAGGGAAGGATCGCAGGGGTCTCACCACCACTCTTGGGGGAGGTGTGCACACCAAGCTCAAAATCTGTAATTCAGGTCGACAAAAAACACAGAGTTCAGGGCCAAACTTGGGCAAGTCATAGCTTAGAAGAGACTCACCCAACCACCCGGCTCTCTCCCCAACCTCTTCCCAAACCAAGCGTTGACTCGTTTTTGTAATTCAGGCTGCGGGTTTTAACACTGATTATTCAGGGTTTTTTTTTTACCCAACCCTGACAGAATTTTTTTTTCCAGGGACCAACACTGACGAATCAGCGTGCCCCAAAACCAATATGAGGCTGCAGCAAGGTGCTCCTTAGGCCCCACGTTATCAGGGCAAAACATGCTGATTACCCTGAATTCAGGATGCAGTTTTAAATTTACCCTGTCATTTCAGAATAGTGTAAATTTTAACCCTGAGGTCTCAGGATGTTTTTATATGAAATGCCCTGAACATTCAGAATGGCTGTAGTGTTCTTCCCTGTAGCGTCAGGATGAATGCCGAGGCCTGCCCTGACGCGTTTTTTGTTGGGGGGAGGGGGGAGTCCCGTTCCTGGGGAAATTTTCCCCCGGGGATTTTTCTCTCCGTAGGAAAGAAGTCGTCAAGAACTCATGCAATCACCTAACCATCCAGAAGTGGCCTAGTCACTAGAAAGGTACTTCCGATAGATGAGGTCCTGGGATCGAACCCACCCCCGTGCAGCCGTATGTAAAATATCAACTTTAACTCTGTTAACCAACCAGTATAAACCCTGAACACTTGGTTTTTTGCCCTGACAGGTCAGGATTGATTTCTGAAAAAGCCCTGAACTTACAGGAAGGCTTCGAAAATTTGCCCTGACAAATCAGGGCATTTTTTACGATTCTGGAAAGGTGCCCTGAGGCCTCAGGGTGCCCCAAATCCTAGCACGAATGAATACAACTCAGGTAGGGTTTCATATTTGTACTGCCTTGCTTTCCCAGTCACACCATTCCGTTGCTTCTACTTCTGAGACTTATTTATATGTTTGTATTTGCATGTTTTAAATTATCTCAATCATTTTACATTCACTCTGATTTGAGGTCAAGGGCCCACCACCACTACCTAGTTGTGTGCGAACCTTCCTGAGGTGATCCTGATTACGATCAACTTCTGATCGCAGCAACGTGCCTCGCGAAATCTTCCCTCGCCCGCCTGGCGAAATTGCCACAGGCGTGTACGTGTTAGCAACATTTCAGCTCGTGATGGATGGCAGGGATTTTTGCCAGGGTGGCACATTCTCAGCAATTTTCGTAGCAAACCTTTTTGTGGTAGTCTCGATTGAAACCGCAAGGCTGAGATCTACAATTCTATGTACCGTATTGAAAACATAATTATCTAAGTGCCATTTATTTAGCCCATGGGGTTATTTTTTTTTCCACATTATAAGCCCACCCACCATTTTTCCAGGTTTTTTTATACCCCCACCTGGGGGTATATCCGGGTGATGACGGTAAGACATATATGTCCACTATCTGGAAGATGACGGTACTGTAGCTAATGATTCACAATAATGGAGGGTGTGAATGTACACAACATTAACTATAAATTGCAATTGTGGTTTGTGAGCATGCCGTACCAAACTTCCAATCATCCAAGATGCCGTGACAACCAAGGCAATTCCTGGTCGGCGCTCAATGCATGGAGCACATCCTCCCTACACGACAAAAAAGAAAAGAGTACGGTAAGTAACAAAATGCAAGTGCAGCTATTAACAAAGGAAATGAATTCTTGGGCATGCTTACAAGGGGAAATGGCAAAAAGTGGAGCAGAATGGGAGAAATACCTGGGTAAGTTGAGCTGAATGCGCTGAATGCAGTGCTGGGCAGTGCCCGCTGCTAGCAAAAGGTGCGACTCTGCCAGGCGTGCACTGGAGAGGAAGGAGAGAGGGGAGAGAGAGTCGGGATTTGAGAAGATCTTTAAGTCGCCCCTAAACCCTCAAAGCGGAGGGAGAGGGAGAGGGAGAGAGCAAGGGAGAGGGAGAGGGAGGGGGAGAGGGAGAGGGAGAGGAAGAGGGAGAAGGAGAGGGAGAGGGAGAGGGAGAGGGAGGGGGAGAGGGAGGGGTAGAGGGAGAGGGAGAGGGAGAGGGAGAGGGAGAGGGAGAGGGAGAGGGAGAGGGAGAGGGAGAGGGAGAGGGAGAGGGAGAGGGAGAGGAAGAGGGAGAGGGAGAGGGAGAGGGAGAGGGAGAGGGAGAGGGAGAGGGAGAGGGAGAGGGAGAGGGAGAGGGAGAGGGAGAGGGAGATGTGCTATTCGTCGCACGTCTGATGCTGCGTCAACCCTCTCCAAGGCAACCAGATTGGCTGGCGGTCCGTACACGTCAGCGACAGTTGCTCAAGGGGAGTGGGACTCACTTTACGAGGACACAGTGGACTCACTGTCCAACCCCCAACCCCCAGCCGCCACTGTTGGACACCAACCTGACGACATCGTGGCCTGCTTGCCAGAGCAGAGGGTCTGGCGCACCGTAGTCTACGGCGGGCCGCCATCCCTGCGCGCCAAGCACCCATCCCTGCGCGCCAAGCACCCATCCCTGCGCGCCAAGCACCCATCCCTGCGCGCCAAGCACCCATCCCTGCGCGCCAAGCACCCATCCCTGCGCGCCAAGCACCCATCCCTGCGCGCCAAGCACCCATCCCTGCGCGCCAAGCACCCATCCCTGCGCGCCAAGCACCCATCCCTGCGCGCCAAGCACCCATCCCTGCGCGCCAAGCACCCATCCCTGCGCGCCAAGCACCCATCCCTGCGCGCCAAGCACCCATCCCTGCGCGCCAAGCACCCATCCATGCGCGCCAAGCACCCACCCGCCCCTCACATGTTACCGGACTGGCCAGCGTCAGTAACGAATGCTCAATTGTCAGTGCCGCTCCCCGCGTTTCTGAAGGTGTTGTCCCCTGCGCGACGCGGCCCTGGTTAACGATGCGGTGGGATGTCATCTACACGCGCTGGTCAACATCATACTGACTCAAAAGTTACTGCCCAAAGTAGCAAGCTTACGCACCACCTCACGCCTGATAGCCCTTGTTGAAATAAAGAGTCGCTAGAGTAGCGGAAATACTCTAGGAAGATAACGACGTCCCTGCGTCACTCAGAGGTAGCTCTCCTGGCTTGTAACGTGGTGCCAAAGCGGCGGCCGAGGGTAGGCCGGACACAAGTGTGGGAATTGTGTCATATGAGCAATGCAATACAATCAGTTATATAGCAAACACATAGGACAGGCGGTTACCGTGGCGCAACAGTATAACAGTTGCGCCACGTCGCTTGGGTTGCCCTGTTACAGTCGCGCTGGCGCGACTGTTCAACTTCGGCAAGGGCGCGGTATTCTGCCGCGCCCTACAGGGCGTTTCGTGTACGGTGCACCTGCCCCACTGTCGATTCGACTCCTCAGCTGCCACGAGGGTGGCAGCTGCTGTGCGCGGTTGCGCCCCTGTAGCTCGATTCTCCAGTCAACACACTCGATATGAAGGGGCTCGATACTACACTTCTGCTAGTGTAGATTACAATAAAATCCGGACAATCATATTCGCAACAGCCCTTACCAAGCCAGAGGGAGGGATGAGGCCGATTGCCATCAGCGAAAGCATCACGCGCCTAGCTGCAAACAACGGCACTCACAGAGACAGCAGGGGCAGCAGTTGGGAGTGGCAGTTCCAGGGGGTGCTGAGGCGATAATCCACTCAACTCGAGCATGCCTTGCCGTGAACCCAGCGCACTCGTCCTCCAAGCCGGCCTTGCCAGCGCCTTCCACAGCGTTACCAGAGCTGCCATAGCTCAAGCCCCCAACCACTCGCTGCTTGCCCCACTGCTGCCGCTAGTACGATTGTCGTAAGGCCAGCCATCCCTGCTCTACGTGGACGCGCGTTTCAACCACCCACCATTGCACAGCGAGACTGGGGTGCAACAGGGAGATCCCTTCGGACCCCTCCTGTTTGTCACCGCCATTAACCCCGCACTAAAGCAACAGCATCTGCCTTCCCGTCGGTGGTATGCCTGCCATACGCCATCTGTGTGACTACCGTGACAAGGTGTGTGACTACCGTGACAAGAAGGTGTGTGACTACCGTGACAAGAAGGTGTGTGACTACCGTGACAAGAAGGTGTGTGACTACCGTGACAAGAAGGTGTGTGACTACCGTGACAAGAAGGTGTGTGACTACCGTGACAAGAAGGTGTGTGACTACCGTGACAAGAAGGTGTGTGACTACCGTGACTCCACGGCGCCGCACGTTGGGTTGGGTTTTACCCGCTAGCTGGCGAGGCATACGGCTGCCCGTGCACGGAGGTCATCGACTTCCTTGAGCTTCTCGCCGACACCGCCGCCGCCCGCAAATGCCTCAACGCCGATCCGACAACCTACCAAGCGGCGAAGCTCCTACACCAATCCCGCCAGCGCTGGTCGGTGGCGCTGCAACGAGGGCAAGCGGTGGGCAAGCGGTGGGCAAGCGGTGGGCAAGCGGTGGGCAAGCGGTGGGCTATATGACAAAATGCAACCTGGCGGCTCAGGTGGAGATCCCACCAGTGGGCGGCAAAGGCGAAGACATGTCCCCTGAGGACTGCCTTGCCATACCGGAGCCCACAGTCGAGCTCCCTTGGAATGGGGTAGTGTGTAGCTGTGATGCTGCTTTAGGATGTTCTTGTTAAATGCCTGCATGTCTGTACGTTTTGGGAACTCATGCAAAGGACTGTTCGAGAGGGAGGGGGAGAGGGAGAGGGAGATGGAGAGGGAAAGGGGAAGGGGGAGAAGGAGAAAGAGCGGTCACTGCAGACCACCTCAGGCCATAACGCCGGCGACTGAGCAGGCCGCCACGGCGACGGGCTCCGCCGCTCGCCATGTGCACGGAACGGGGATCTCTCCCGCCCTCGCGTACGCGAGCCCGGCATCACTCAGGACCGCAGCGGATCAACTCCAGTGGTGGTCGCCTCAACTTCAGCGGGCGAACGCGACACAACCACGGGGCCGGGCAAGCAGCGCGAGGGGACGGCGTGGAGGCGGGCGTGGACGAGGAGGCCGCGAGAGCCCGCTGACGAGAGGCGGAGGCTACGCCCGACTGGCGAGGCGATTGATCACCCAAGGAGACGAACTACGGGGCGACGCGGCGCTGGACGAACAGGAGCTGGAGGGGAGGGCTGACGGAGGGGAGAGAGAGATCGAGGAACTGAGGAATGAGAGATCGGGTGACCAACCTTATACCCCTTCGCAGGAGGGTATTCCCAGTTCAGAGGCCGAGGCAGAAGATGAACAAGGAGTTGAAGAGGAAGCACACCGTGGTGGGGGTCGACCAATTCGCCGAGGCGCATCTGCAATTTCCCCCCAAATTGCAAACCGCGCCGCCCCCAGAGCTGGGCCCCGAGGCAACGAGGCCAATCATCTGCCGCCAGAAAGAACACCCCTACCTCATTTTTCACCGAAGCAACTGGCTGGCGACGCTGCGAAGTTGGCGGAAATAACCACCTGGGACATCCAGGTGCTTCGCGACTCTCGCCAACCCCCTCTCGCCCGCCACTTCCCGAGGATTATCCGGGACACCTTCGCCACTTGTCTTCTGACCCCTCTCCTGCGCTTAGCTCGGGATCCTGACTCCCTCCAAGCCTGGACCCTCCTTCTTTTCCTCCCACGCCTCACACTCTGTGCCAGTTCAACCCGCAAACCTGATTGGGCCGCGATATCTGCACGCCTGCTCCTTTTTCAGCAAGGGAGGTGGGGCGAACTTTACTCCAACGCCTGCGACGCGATCAACCTCCCACCTGGACCCAGACATGCACCTGATGACGCGGGGAAACTGGCAAGGGCGACAGGATTGGCGAAAAAGGGTAGCCTGGCCAAGGCCCTCCAGGCCCTGGAAAGTACACCTGTGAGCCCCAACTCACCTGAAATTCTCGAGGCCCTACGCCTGCGCCACTCCCTGAGCACAACAGAACCACCCCAATGGCTCGACACCCACCCCTCTGCACCAGCAATCACGCTAAGGGACCTGCGGCAAATTCTCTCGACATGCAAGAACGGAGGAACGCGGTCACCCGCCACCCCGACGTGGCTGAACACCTGCTGGCCTTGATCAACACCTGCTGGCCTTGAGCAACACCTGCTGGCCTTGATCAACACCTGCTGGCCTTGATCAACACCTGCTGGCCTTGATCAACACCTGCTGGCCTTGATCAACACCTGCTGGCCTTGATCAACACCTGCTGGCCTTGATCAACACCTGCTGGCCTTGATCAACACCTGCTGGCCTTGATCAACACCTGCTGGCCTTGATCAACACCTGCTGGCCTTGATCAACACCTGCTGGCCTTGATCAACACCTGCTGGCCTTGATCAACACCTGCTGGCCTTGATCAACACCTGCTGGCCTTGATCAACACCTGCTGGCCTTGATCAACACCTGCTGGCCTTGATCAACACCTGCTGGCCTTGATCAACACCTGCTGGCCTAGATCAACACGGCGCTCGCAGGCAAGCTCTCCAAGGAAACGGCGAGGCTCCTCACCGCCTCCAGACTTTAGCTTTTTCAAAACCCGAGGGCGGAACCCGCCCCATAGCGGTGGGCGAGGTGATCCACCGCATCATCGCCAAGGCGGCACTCCTCCTCGCCGCACCCTTCGCTCGCCGCCACTTCGCCCCCATCCAGTACGGTGTTGCCACGCCTGTCGGTGCGGAGGCGATCATTCATGCCACACGTACCTACCTCGAGGAAAACGCCAGTGCAGTCCAACGGGGTGGAGAGGGAAGGTGTCTTGGAGGGACTCGGAGACTCACCTCTGGAGTTCCTCGTCCCCTTCAGACTCACCTCTGGAGTTCCTCGTCCCCTTCAGACTCACCTCTGGAGTTCCTCGTCCCCTTCAGACTCACCTCTGGAGTTCCTCGTCCCCTTCAGACTCACCTCTGGAGTTCCTCGTCCCCTTCAGACTCACCTCTGGAGTTCCTCGTCCCCTTCAGACTCACCTCTGGAGTTCCTCGTCCCCTTCAGACTCACCTCTGGAGTTCCTCGTCCCCTTCAGACTCACCTCTGGAGTTCCTCGTCCCCTTCAGACTCACCTCTGGAGTTCCTCGTCCCCTTCACAAGAAGCTCCTTCCGAACTCATCATCGACGCCGCCTTCAACGACGACAACCTTTGTTCTTCAAGAGGGGTGCTCCAAGGAGACCCAATGTGCCTCCTCCTCTTCGCCGCCGCAATCCACCCTGCTCTAAAGGCAGTGGCCGCCGCTCACCCAGCAGTCGTCGTGCTCGCCTACGCCGACGATATCACGCTGCTCGGCCCAGGACCCGACTGCACCGACGCCTTCAACAGCCTCATCGCGGCACTCTCTCCGCTCGGCCTCCGCCACAACGCCGCCAAGTGCGCGGCCTGGTCCCCCAGCACACCTGGGCCTCAACACCTTCCCCCTGGCGTACCCTGGTCGTCCTCCGGACTCAGGATCCTGGGGAGCCCTGTGGGGCCGCCAGAGGATTGTGCCGCCTTTCTTCGCACCAGAATGGCCGAGGCAGTGGAGCCATCGCCTCTCCTCTCCCAGCTGGATCCGCAGCTGTGCCTCCTCCTCCTCACGCGGTGCATCAGCCGCCGCATCGCCTACATTCTCCGCACCACACCTCCCGACTCGTTACCCGTCACGGAGTGGGATTCCTGGGGGGAAGGGAACTTCCTTACATTCCTGGGGGGAAGGGAACTTCCTTACATTCCTGGGGGGAAGGGAACTTCCTTACATTCCTGACCTCCGCCACCATCCCCCTGCCACGCCACCGCCCCGAGCAGCTAAGGGCTTGGCGGCAAGCCTCCCTCCCCCCCACCCTTGGCGGACTCGGAATAGCCGACCCTGCCATGGAGTGGTTTGCAAGTTTCCTCGCCTCATCTGCAGTCGCCTTCCACCTCCTCTCCTCGCCCTCCTACTCCTCCCACCTCCAAGTGGCGGCGCTCCTGCCTCTCTTCGCCGCGGATGACACCAGCACCTGTCGCCTCCCACTGCGCCTGGCAGCTGCACAAGAAACGCTGCCCACAAAGGCCGTCGCTATCCTCCAAAAACTGCGGGAGGGAGGGGAACTCGCAAAGCTACAGCACTCCCTCTCCCTCCACGTCCACGCAGCCACGGCCACGTTGCAGGAGGATGGCGCTGAACCCTCTGCTCCGTCACACACAAAGACTGCAATCCCTCATCGGGCCGGGGGCAGGGGACTGGCTCATGTCCCTGCCCATCACCAAACCCCACCGCCTACCGTCCCACCACTTCACGCCAATGGCTGTCTTCCGCCTCGGCCTACCGCAGCTCGTCCCGGGCTGCTGTGACTGCAACAAACAGGTGGAAATACCGGACCCGCGCCTGCCAAACCACCTACTGCGGTGCGGAACGGGGAAGGGACGAACAGGAACTCACCATGCACTCAGGGATGAGTGCGAGCAGATTGCAGCTGAGTCGGGCTTTGCGGTTCAAAAGGAAACAACACTCTACACACCGGTGGAGGGCCTCAAGGCGGACCTCGCAATCCGGCACCCAGGGGCGGTGTGGCTCATCGACGTGACGGTGACCGACCCCATTTCCACAGCTCAGCCACGTGTGGGGTGGGCTGCTCGGGTGGCAGCAAGGGCAAAGGAGTATAAATACCGCAACTGGCAGTTACGGGTGGGGTTTACTGAATGGCAATAGAGACTTACGGGTGCTGCTCCCCCGGGGTGTTCGAATTCATGCGCCTTTGTGCAAACCTGGCGGCAAAAAGACTCCACAACGCTGAGCCTACCTCACGGGAGGCGCTGAAGCTGTTTCACTCTTACCGACAGCGATGGTCGATCGCACTGCAGAGGGGCCAAGCCAATGCTCTCTGCGCCAAGACCCTGGCGGCCTTTGAGGCCGAGGCTCCCACATCTGCCTACCAGGACGAGCCCCTAGACACGGGAGACCTTCTGCACATCCTCGAGCCGGACTTTGAGCTGCCTTAGGCAGTCCCATTGCATGCTCGTTGTATCACAATGAAGGACCATTCCAGTGAAAACAAAAACAAAACAAAAAAAAAAAAGAGAGGGAGAGGGAGAGGGAAGGGGGAATGGAGGGAGTTGGGGGAGGGAGGGAGGGAGGGAGGGAGGGAGGGAGGGAGGGAGGGAGGGAGGGAGGGAGGGAGGGAGGGAGGGAGGGAGCAAGGGAGGGAGGGAGGAAGGGAGGACACACATTCAGAACACGCGCCCCAGCCAACTCGCACCCAACTCACCACGCACCCAACTCACCACGCACCCAACTCACCACGCACCCAACTCACCACGCACCCAACTCACCACGCACCCAACTCACCACGCACCCAACTCACCACGCAGCCAGCAGGGCATCGTGAGACACATTCAGCCGCACTGGAAGCTCCCAGGAAGCTTCCTCCTTCCTCCCAGGCTGCTGCACCAGACGCTTCCCCCCTCCGCCACCGGCGGCCTCTGATTGGTCGGGAAGAACTGCTGACATGGCAGCAGCCAATGAGGAGAGTGCAGCGGGTGACGGTGTGGCAGGGACGGTGGAGTTGTGGTGCTGCAACCAGGCGTTGCAGAGGTGGTGCACCTGCATGGGGTGGGGTGGGCACACGGGGTTAGAGGCAAGACAGGTGGGGCAAGCAGAGGAGAGGAGAGGCTAGGATGGTGGAGGCAAAGAGGGACGGTGGAAGGAACTGTGGTGCTGCAACGAGGTGTGGCATGCGTGGTGCACCTGGATGGAGTGAGGCAAGCAGAGGGAAGTGGATGGGAAGTATGGCGGCAAGGAGGAGTCTCTCACTAGACGAATTAGGCATGACCAAAGAATCCAACCGTAGTTCGTTTCGAATCGAACCTCAGCCTTGCTTTCTTGTTTAGGTTTGCAACAAGCCGAACCAGAGGTTCATCGAACCAGAGGTTCATCGAACCAGAGGTTCATCGAACCGGTTCGACCGTTTGACCAGTTCGGTTATTTGTTTTCATCTAGGTGCGAAGAGGGGAGGGGAGAGGTCACAAGGGGCGAGGAGGGGCGAGAATGGTCGAACCGGTTCGGTTCGGTTGTCTGACTGTATTACCGAACATCGAATTGGCCTGAGATCTGGACAGTTTAAAAAGAACCAGTTCGGTTCGTTCCCAAACCGGTTCAATGGTTGTCCTACATAGCCGAACCGGTTCGGTTCAGCTTTTGCTCATGCCTAAGACGAGTGAGTCTAATTTGCAGTTTGAGCTTTTAAAAATGTATAAAAGATATTGTAACCAGTTTGAGGAAGCTTACTTACAGGTGACGTGTGCCATTGAGGACAAATGGGTTTCACACTCCAAAGTGGAAGAATGAGGAAGAGGACGCTTGCATCTACGAGTGACTCAGGTGGTGCATAGAGGGGTGATAACAAGAGGGGAGCTAGAGGGGTGATAACAAGAGGGGGCCTAGAGGGGTGATAACAAGAGGGGGGCTAGAGGGGTGATAGAGAGGGAGATATAGAGAGGCGATACAAATCAAAGGCAGGTTGGGTTACCATGGCGAATACGGTAGGTGGGTTAGCGTGGCACATGAGCAAGCACTGATAGCGCGTACCGACCCTGGCAAAGGTGGATTCAGAAGCGCCGGATCGATGGAGGTCACAGGAGAGAGCAGCGAGGAATATCTTCTCCACGGCGGACAGGCGGCGTTTGATCTGGGCGGGGTGAGGAGGATGAACGAAAGGGGCAGGCGGGTGTTGACGCACGCATGTGACGAGCCGAGGCACGGAAAGATGGTGGTGACATAATGGTGAATGATGGTGGTGACGTGATGGTGAATGATGGTGCTGACATGATGGTGAACAAAAAGGGTGTAGGAATATAATGCACATGGGTGCGCACGCATGCACAGTGAACACACACACACATCACATGCACAGTGCACACACGCACACATCACATGCACAGTGCACACACGCACACATCACGTGCACAGTGCACACACGCACACATCACGTGCACAGTGCACACACGCACACATCACATGCACAGTGCACACACGCACACATCACATGCACAGTGCACACACGCACACATCACGTGCACAGTGCACACACGCACACATCACATGCACAGTGCACACACACACACATCACGTGCACAGTGCACACACGCACACATCACATGCACAGTGCACACACGCACACATCACATGCACAGTGCACACACGCACACATCACGTGCACAGTGCACACACGCACACATCACATGCACAGTGCACACACGCACACATCACGTGCACAGTGCACACACGCACACATCACATGCACAGTGCACACACGCACACATCACATGCACAGTGCACACACGCACACATCACGTGCACAGTGCACACACACACACATCACGTGCACAGTGCACACACGCACACATCACATGCACAGTGCACACACGCACACATCACATGCACAGTGCACACACGCACACATCACGTGCACAGTGCACACACGCACACATCACATGCACAGTGCACACACGCACACATCACATGCACAGTGCACACACGCACACATCACGTGCACAGTGCACACACACACACATCACGTGCACAGTGCACACACGCACACATCACATGCACAGTGCACACACGCACACATCACATGCACAGTGCACACACGCACACATCACGTGCACAGTGCACACACGCACACATCACATGCACAGTGCACACACGCACACATCACGTGCACAGTGCACACACGCACACATCACATGCACAGTGCACACACGCACACATCACGTGCACAGTGCACACACGCACACATCACATGCACAGTGCACACACGCACACATCACATGCACAGTGCACACACACACACATCACGTGCACAGTGCACACACGCACACATCACATGCACAGTGCACGCACCATGATGTGGGGCGATGAGAAGATCTCTTGAATGGCCGCCTCCACGTGCTCGATCTGCACCACCAACGGCCTCTGCTGTGCTTTCCTCACGTGCCGCGCCTCAACCGATGCCTGCCTCCCCTCCCCCACATGCTCCGCCTGAACCACCACCGGACCGCACTGGCCCCTCTCACTGCAATCTGCTGCGCCACCGTTAACCGACTCTCCTCCCTCCCTTCCATGCTCCACCAACTTTCCATTTGCGGCCCCTCCTCCTCCCTTTCCTCCTTCACCCCTCACGCATGTGACTGCTTCCCTGCTCCTCATCCTTGCTCCTTCTGCGTTTCTTCCCGTTTCCTCCCATTCCTCAGCCTCCCCTACACCCGTCCGCCAATGTCTCTCCTCCACTTCTCCTCCCTTCCCCTTTTCCACACCCTCCCTATCACCTGCTTGTGCATCTCCCACTTCCTTCACCTCCCCTTTCCCCTCCTTTCTCTCTTCCACCCCCTCAGTCCGCCCCCCCAGGCCTCTTTCCATTTCCCTTGTCACCTCACCCTTCGCTCCTCTCGCACCCTCTTCCCCCCTTCGCACCCCTTTTCTCGGCCTCAAATGGCGTGAAGGGGTGGCTGTACCACCGTTCACACCCCCACCACCACTACCACCACCACCATCAGCACCACCACCACCACTATTACCGCCCTCCTTCCCTCTCTCCCCACCTCCTCCATGCCTTTTCCCTCTCCTTTCATTCCTGCTCAAACCCCCTCTTCCAACCTTCCTGTTCCCCACCTCATTCTCCTCTTTGCCTTTGTCTTTCTCCTGTTCTTTCTCTCTCCGTTTCTCTTCCCCTTTCCCTCTGACTCCCTCTCCTGCATCCTTCTCCTCTCCCGCCACTTCCCCGCTCCCCCCCTTCTGAAACAAAACAGACAAACCGCTCTCCACTCCTCCTCCACACCGCACCGCACTCTCCTTAACCAGGCTTGCGTCGGGACCCAGTCTCAGACTTGCTCCCGCCATCGCCCCGAACCCAGCTCCCGATCCTGCTCCCGTACCATCTCCCGAACCAGCTCCCACCTCTGCTTCACCTGGCACGTCAGCTTCACCTGCCACGTCAGAAAAACCCGCCTCGGCTGCATGGCTAGCCCCTGCCAGCCTGGCCTCTCCCTCGGCAATCTCCACGGCTCTCCGGCAGATCTCAAGCGCCCGCCGCACATCCCCGGATACAGACGCCACCTGCATGCATGCAGGGCAGGAGGGAGGGGAGGGGTTGAGGATAGTCGGGTGAACGGGGGAGACAGGAAGGCAGGTCGGGTGAGATTTAGAGGCTCGTTGACCCTCAGCGGTTGAACCGTGTGGAAGTACTGAGTCCCACCCATGGAAGTACTGAGTCCCACCCACGGAAGTACTGAGTCCCACCCACGGGCCCGTGGCACGCCGCCCGATCTCGATGCCACGTGCAGGCAGGGGAAGGCAGGTCGCACGTCGTCTGGTGAAAGGAAGAGAGGAGCGCAAGTGAGGTCAGAAACAGCAATTGATTGAGCATGGCCCGTCGCACGTCGACCGATAGCAACCACCTGCAGGGAAGGAGGGAGGCAGCGAGGCAGGGAGAGGGGAGGGAGGAAGGGAGCAAGTCGGGTGAAAGGGAGAGCGGAGCGGGAAATTGTGGTACGAAACAGCGACAACAGTTATTTGAGAACACTCAAGTTGAGCAGTCAAGTAACTTGAGCCTCCAGCGCCCATCGCACGCCCTCCATTACCGACAGCACCTGCACATAGAATGGAGGGAGAGAGGAGAAAGCAGAGCAGTCAGGCTAACTACTAACTGTCAGGCTAACTGATAACTGTCAGTCAGGCTAACTACTAACTGTCAGGCTAACTGATAACTGTCAGTCAGGCTAACTGCAAACTGTCAGGCTAACTGATAACTGTCACTGTCAGTAAGGCTAGCTGCAAACTGTCTGGCTAGCTGTCTGGCTAACGTTGAATCGAGGTGCATTCTGAGTCGAGTTGAATCGAGGTGCATTCTGAGTCGAGGTGAATCGAGGTGCATTCTGAGTCCGCTGAGAATAGATCATCAAGGGCCCGCCACAAGTCACCCGATAATACTGATGCCAGCTGCATTCCAGAAGGGAGGAAGGGAGGATCCAAGCATGCAAGGCCGCCAGGCTGACTGTGAGTCAAGGCGAGGAAAGGGAAGGGAAGAAGGGAGGAGACGGGAGGCAGTCAGAGAAACTTCTTACAGTGCCAAGAGAGGAAGGGGACGACAGAGAGGGGACGACAGAGAGGGGGCGTTTGAGTTGACTCGAAGAAAGGAACCACCCTCGCACCCTGAAATCAGAAACCCACGAGCCTCACCCTACTCGCAACCAGTTGTAGGGTCTTTCTCCTGACAGTGGAGGGTCTCACCTCTCACAGCGCCCTTGCACTGTTGAAAGGGGAGGCCCACCCTTGCAAGCTCGCACCCTTGCAAGCTCGCACCCTTGCAAGCTCGCACCCTTGCAAGCTCGCACCCTTGCAAGCTCGCACCCTTGCAAGCTCGCACCCTTGCAAGCTCGCACCCTTGCAAGCTCGCACCCTTGCAAGCTCGCACCCTTGCAAGCTCGCACCCTTGCAAGCTCGCACCCTTGCAAGCTCGCACCCTTGCAAGCTCGCACCCTTGCAAGCTCGCACCCTTGCAAGCTCGCACCCTTGCAAGCTCGCACCCTTGCAAGCTCGCACCCTTGCAAGCTCGCACCCTTGCAAGCTCGCACCCTTGCAAGCTCGCACCCTTGCACGCTCGCACCCTTGCAAGCTCGCACCCTTGCAAGCTCGCACCCTTGCAAGCTCGCACCCTTGCAAGCTCGCACCCTTGCAAGCTCGCACCCTTGCACGCTCGCACCCTTGCAAGCTCGCACCCTTGCAAGCTCGCACCCTTGCAAGCTCGCACCCTTGCACGCTCGCACCCTTGCAAGCTCGCACCCTTGCAAGCTCGCACCCTTGCAAGCTCGCACCCTTGCAAGCTCGCACCCTTGCAAGCTCGCACCCTTGCAAGCTCGCACCCTTGCAAGCTCGCACCCTTGCAAGCTCGCACCCTTGCAAGCTCGCACCCTTGCAAGCTCGCACCCTTGCAAGCTCGCACCCTTGCACGCTCGCACCCTTGCAAGCTCGCACCCTTGCAAGCTCGCACCCTTGCAAGCTCGCACCCTTGCAAGCTCGCACCCTTGCAAGCTCGCACCCTTGCACGCTCGCACCCTTGCAAGCTCGCACCCTTGCAAGCTCGCACCCTTGCAAGCTCGCACCCTTGCAAGCTCGCACCCTTGCACGCTCGCACCCTTGCAAGCTCGCACCCTTGCAAGCTCGCACCCTTGCAAGCTCGCACCCTTGCAAGCTCGCACCCTTGCAAGCTCGCACCCTTGCACGCTCGCACCCTTGCAAGCTCGCACCCTTGCAAGCTCGCACCCTTGCAAGCTCGCACCCTTGCAAGCTCGCACCCTTGCACGCTCGCACCCTTGCAAGCTCGCACCCTTGCAAGCTCGCACCCTTGCAAGCTCGCACCCTTGCAAGCTCGCACCCTTGCAAGCTCGCACCCTTGCACGCTCGCACCCTGGAAGCCTCCGAGCCTCACCTTCCGTGCAGCCAGCTCGATGGCCCGCGGTGCAAACAGCTGGCACACGTGCAGGCGGGCGGCGACAATCGTCTCTATCTGGTGGCGCGTGTACGGCGCAAAGGGCACGCGGTGCAGCCCCATGCGGCTGGCGATGCGCGGCAGCAGGCGCTCTGGGAGGTCCACCGTGTTGGCGATGCCTGGGGAGGCGAGAGAGAGCGGTGAGAGAGGGGGGAGTGAGGAGAGAGTGAAGGGAGCGAGAGGCGAGAGTGAGGGGAGAGAGGGGGAGAGTGCAGGGAGTGAGGGGGGGAAAGGGAAAGTGGGAGGGGTGGTAATACAGAGTGCAAGCGGTGCAGCCCCTTTCTGCAGGCTATGACCGGAAATAGTCACCCAGGAAGCCCCACTGTGTTGGCCATGCCTGGGTGGTGAGAGTGAGTGAGCTCCAGAAACGGGTGGGGGATGGAGGGGGGGAGGCGTAGGGTGCAAAGGGCAGGAGGAGGAAAGGAAGGGGGAGCAGGCGCTTGGGTGATCCACTGCATTGGCAATCCCTGCGGGAAGAGAGGAGAGGGATGGGGACAAGAGGGAGTGGGGGAGACGCAGGATGCCAAGGGCTTCAAGGGAGCCGGTCTTGTCAATAGTGGACAGGTGGGCTGGCAGGCGCTCAGGCAAGTCCACTGTGCTGGCAAACAGAGGGAGAAATGGGGGTTGGACTAATGGCAACACTTGCAATGGATGGCAGCAATAGTAAAATAACGCTGATGGCAAAACTTTTACAGTAGAATAAGAATCGAGACGCTTACCAGGAACACTTACCGATAACCGCAACACTTACCATTAACCGCAACACTTACCATTAACCGCAACACTTACCATTAACCGCAACACTTACCATTAACCGCAACACTTACCATTAACCGCAACACTTACCATTAACCGCAACACTTACCATTAACCGCAACACTTACCATTAACCGCAACACTTACCATTAACCGCAACACTTACCATTAACCGCAACACTTACCATTAACCGCAACACTTACCATTAACCGCAACACTTACCATTAACCGCAACACTTACCATTAACCGCAACACTTACCATTAACCGCAACACTTACCATTAACCGCAACACTTACCATTAACCGCAACACTTACCATTAACCGCAACACTTACCATTAACCGCAACACTTACCATTAACCGCAACACTTACCATTAACCGCAACACTTACCATTAACCGCAACACTTACCATTAACCGCAACACTTACCATTAACCGCAACACTTACCATTAACCGCAACACTTACCATTAACCGCAACACTTACCATTAACCGCAACACTTACCATTAACCGCAACACTTACCATTAACCGCAACACTTACCATTAACCGCAACACTTACCATTAACCGCAACACTTACCATTAACCGCAACACTTACCATTAACCGCAACACTTACCATTAACCGCAACACTTACCATTAACCGCAACACTTACCATTAACCGCAACACTTACCATTAACCGCAACACTTACCATTAACCGCAACACTTACCATTAACCGCAACACTTACCATTAACGGCAACGCTTACCATTAACAACAACACCTACCAGTAACCGCAACACTTACCATTAACCGCAACACTTACCATTAACCGCAACACTTACCATTAACGGCAACACTTACCATTAACGGCAACGCTTACCATTAACAACAACACCTACCAGTAACGGCAAGATTGAGCAAAAGTGGAAAGACTGACCAATAACGGCAAGGCGTGCAGAGCTCCAGGTGGTCCACTCGAAGATGTTGTACAGCACCTGGGGCAAAGGGTTACATACACACGGGTGCACATGCATGGGAAAAAAAAAGGAAAAAAATTTGCTGCACACACATGGCCAGCGGAGGAAGTCACTCACGTGCTGTCCCCACCAAGCAGCTACAAGCACCTCAAAAGGCACGCTGCACAACCTAATAAAACCCTTCCCAACCGCTCCATGATCGCTTCCGAACCACTGCTTCCTCCTGATCAGCTGATCCATCTCACCCACCAGCAGCACTCACACTCCCGCCCCTCCTCCTCTCCCGTGCTCCAAATCTCCATCTACAACCTCATCCACCTCATCCACCACAACAAATCCACCGTCCACACCTGGCTCGCACGTCCCCATGCCTCACTCATAATGTCCAAACAACCCTTTTCAACCCCTCCCAGCCCCCCACAACCCTCGTCAACCCTTACCAATCCTTCCCAACCGCTCCACAATCCTCCCTACCTTCTGGTCCTTGCTGATGAGCTGATCCATCTCATCCACCAGCAGCACACACACTCCTCCCCCTCCCCCTCCCCCTCCCCCTCCCCCTCCTCCTCCTCCTCCTCCTCCTCCTCCCCCTCCTCCTCCTCTCCCCTGCCCCTCCTCCCTCCGCCCACCCCCCCTTCCTCTCCCACCTCCTCTACCCCTGCCCCTCCCTCTGTTCACCCCGCCAGGGGCAGAGGAGGAGCGAGGGGAGGCGAATCGGAGGTTGAGGGAGTGAAGAGCTTTCTTCCATGCGACCCTCTGGCCGGTCAGTGCCTCCCAGAAAACCTGAAGTGATGGCGGGTGATGTGATGGGCAGGAAGGCCGTGAGGCCGTTGGTGGCAGAGGGAGGAGGTAGAGCGAGGAGGCTGAGGAAGGAGGGGGTTGGTAGGGAGGGGATTGTAAAAACCCTTACAGAGAAGAAGGCAGTGGGTAAGGAGACACAAAGGGGAGACAGAGAAGGGGGTGGCAGGGAACGGGACTTAGGGCGCGTGTAATATGGCTACCATTTTCGTGGATTTAGCTAGCCAGGTCTTGCGAAGAAAACCAACATTGAACCTTGTGTGTTTCTGAATTCTGAGTGGGACTCGAATTTGAGCATGGACGTTCGCGCGCACGTTCAAGCGAGCGTGTGCACTTTTGGGCACGTTCATCAATTTGGCGGGATCACCGAGTTGTACGAACAACTTCAGTCCTGATTTCGAAAACGACGCAAGGGCCATGTTGGTTACACCAGGTAACCTACCAGGACTACTCGCGGCTCGTCGGAGGTTGAATCTTAATATTCGACCCTAGGCATGGCATAAGCAAGGTAAGGTGCGCGCATGCCCGCGGGCAGGCGTTTGAAGGTGAGGGAGCGCGAGTCGTAGGCCGTGCGGCAGAGAAACACGTCGTCCCCCGCGTGCGCCGCTGCTGCGAAGAGCGGGTCTGGGAGCACCTGGCAGGCGCGCACTATTGTGGCCATCTGACCTCCCCACGGGGGAGCGCAGAGGGACGGGGAGAGAAGAAAGTGACAGTGGGTGGTAGGCATGGGTCACGGGTCACGGGAAGAGGGGAAGAGCAGGTTTGGAACATGTCATCCATCTCACTCACCTCGTTCCACCCATCTCAATCCCTTCCATCTCCTTCGTGAAACAGCTCCCTTTCTCTACGCTGCGCTCCTCTACCCAAAACCACTGCACCCGCTTCGCATCCCTCCTCACCGCGTTCCGCCCCTCTCACCTCTCCCCACCGCGCTCACCTCGATCTCCTGCGTGACATCCCCATAGAACACCTCCCTCTTCCTGTGCCGCGCCTGCCTGCCCTCCACCGTCTCCTCTGGCAACACATACCACCTCACCCTGCACCACCACCCACTCTCATCCCCCTCCTCATCTCCCTCCCCCCCCCCTTCCCCTTTCCCTTCCTCCTCCTCGTCCCCTTTCTTCCCCCCCACTCCCTCCTCCTTCTCATCCCTCCTGCTTCTGCGTTCCTTTGATTCGTCCACGCGCCATATCCTTTCGATTCGACCAATCGCCAGCTCCCCATCGAACACTCGCTCCCGCGCCGTTCGCCGCCGCTTCTGCTTCCTTTCCCCCGCCCCCTCCTCCCCCGCATTCGCCCCCTCCCGCGCCTTCTCTGCTTTCCCCGCCTTCCCGAGTTTGCTTCCCCTTGTTCCGATCCCCCCTTCCCCCGCTCCTCCAGCACAAGCCGGGCAGAACCAATCGCCTTCCGGAATTTCAGCAAGGGGCGGCTCGAGGCAGCCGAGGTGGAAACCACCAAGGCACCCGTCGCACTCCACCATCACCCCCCCCCTCCCCCTCCCCCTCCCCCTCCCCCTCCCCATCCTCGTGCCTCTCCCCTTCTCCCACACCAACAACTTTCCCGCAGATCTCGCATGCCTCTTCACTCGCATATGATTCGTCTGAATCCGAGCCGTCGGCGGCGACCTCGGGGGCTCCATCGGACGAATCGCAGCCGTTGATCTTGACGTAGACGCAATCGCCAACGGAGAATTCGTGGCCGTCTAAGTGGACGCGATGGACGTGGTGCCGCTTGGAAGGAGCACTGCGTCTAGTGGGACGGGAGCGAGGAGCCATGGATCCCCACCCTGACTCGCCTTGAACGTTGAGACGCTTTGAAAGTGTCTGGAAGGGGCACGGGGACGAGGAGGCAGTGAATTCGGACTCTCAGTTTTTTCGGATGAACCAACAACGGAAGTTCCAAGACGTTCAAAGTGGATAGAACCCACTTCTACCTCTACCAATCACTCCGTTTGGTGTGGCTACAATAGAAAGGAAGACAGGGAGGCAGGAAAGGCAGATCGGGAGGAAGAAAGGGGAGGTAGGGAGGTGGGGAGGTGGGATGGGGAGATGGGGAGGTGGGGAGATGGGGAGATGGGGAGGTGGGGAGGTGGGGAGGTGGGGGAGGTGGGAAGGGGAGATGGGGAGGTGGGAAGGGGAGATGGGGAGGTGGGAAGGGGAGATGGGGAGGTGGGAAGGGGAGATGGGGAGGCGGGAAAGGGGAGATGGGGAGGCGGGAAAGGGGAGATGGGGAGGCGGGAAAGGGGAGATGGGGAGGCGGGAAAGGGGAGATGGGGAGGCGGGAAAGGGGAGATGGGGAGGCGGGAAAGGGGAGATGGGGAGGCGGGAAAGGGGAGATGGGGAGGCGGGAAAGGGGAGATGGGGAGGCGGGAAAGGGGAGATGGGGAGGCGGGAAAGGGGAGATGGGGAGGCGGGGTAGCAGTGGCAGGCAGGGGAAAAGCCGAGGCTGGTAGGGGAGATCGGAAGGCGCGCAGGGGAGTTTGGGGCGCGGGAAGGGGAGATGGCGACGAAAGGCAAACCCTGTTGGGGAGGCGTGAAGGGGAGATGGGGAGGCACGACGAGGAGGAGAGGCACGACGAGGAGGAGAGGCACGACGAGGAGGAGAGGCAAGGGAAGTAGACGAGATCAAGAGGGCGACAGCTGCCATGGGGAGGCGTGAAGGGGAGATGGGCGGGCGGGAAGGGGAGATGGGCGGGCGGGAAGAGGAGATGGGCGGGCGGGAAGGGGAGATGGGCGGGCGGGAACGGGAGATGGCGACGAAAGGCAAGGGGAGATGGTTCGGCGGAGGGGAGCTGGCGAGGCGGCTGTCGCGATCTCACCTGCGACTGCGGCGGCTCGTGCGGCGGCTGGTGAGCGAGCGGGCGCCGAATGCGATCGTGCGAGAGCACGCTACATCCCAAAAAAGGCAGGGCTCGAAGGGCATGAAGATATCAGGCTTCCGCAAGGTTACTCCTGCAGGACTTACGACAGCGTTACTAGGTGGGTTTCGACTCTGGCGACTCGGAAAATTTGCCCGAAACCTCCTTTCCGTTTGGGCGACGATCACGATTCTCGTCTGGTTGTCGTTTCGTTGTTAGGGCGTGTCTCTTTTTGGGTTGCGGAGCAACCTATCATTGCGATCGATCTGAATTGTTTATTATTTTTTCGATGAATTATTTTTTAATTCGAAAAAACACAAACGAAAAGGATAAAGAAACTCGGTATAAGAATCCTCTCGAACTGTGCTGGACTATGGTAATAAATTAGGTATATTATATTTTCGCCATTTGATGTTTTGTGTGCTACATTACTCGTTGGGACTAACGATTTATGGGATTAAAGATAATTCCATCATTTTGTTTTGTGTAAAAAAAAATCATAAAATTTTGAAGAAATATTCAGGGCAAATTTTGACGTTCGCACTACGAGACAGGAACATATTCACCAAACAAATCAGTGAATATGTTCCACATATGAAAAAAAAAATGAAATTTCACAATTTATACTACCGTATTCTCCCAGACAAAACACCCCCCCATGATTGAGCACCCCCGGGTAGCTTGTGCGGGGTGGGTGCTATGGGTGACCTCGTTTCTACTATACCCCCCTTTTTGGCTGATTATTTATAACACCCCCCTTTTCTTACAGATCTCTTTATTATATTTGTTAACGAGTAGGTGCAATTATGGGATTCCCTCCCTCGATGAATTCAATTCGAATCTGCCGAGATTCCCCCCCGCCCTCCCTCGATGAATTCAATTCGAATCTGCCGATTTTCCTCCCCGCCCACCATCTCGCTATCGCCACGTGCTCGCGAATCTTGCGCTGCAAGTGGCCAGACAGGTGCCACACGGCATTTTTTAGGGGGCGATGACGTTTGCGTCGAAACTCACATTCGCGCCAAAACGCCCAAGGAAACACTCAACTTGTCTAATAAAAAAAACGCTTACACCAAAATATACCATACATATGCACCCGGGTGTTATGTAGCTTTCTCCTATGAGAAGACACCCCCCTTTTTTTTCCTGTATTTTTATATCTATCCGAGGGTGTTATGTCTGGGAGAATACGGTACCGCTTCCCCAGCCTAGCATGGGGGGGAAGTTAGCAGTATAAAAGTTGAATTGTTCTAACAAAGCAATACAGTCTGCAAATCCCAAAACAATATCTACACCGATCAAGTCCAGCTCAAAATGGCTTCACTTTAATAGTGGTACACCACTGAACCTTTTGTGACAATGACCGGCAATATTTTTTTTTGAAACATGCAGACATGCATTACAATTGCAACAAATAGCGTAGTCCAACAAGCAGAAATGAAACAAATTGAACAGTTACTCATAATAAAAACCAATCAAACAATTGCACTATGGGTTGTACGAGAAATTCCCTTCCATCCCCCCTATAAGTCAGATCTGCAATAAAAAGAAAGCACATAGTGCCAGGAAAAAGACGGAATAGAAAGATTTCAGGTTTATGAGAAACAAAACTGAGAAAATGAAGAAGATGGCGTAAAAGACAGTCGAAACCTCAAGTCAGAAAACCAGAATATTTCAAACCCCGAACTAAAGAAAAGAGCGAGAAAAACTTGCAGTGGAAAAAGAGAGCGCATGTTATTCGAAATAACAGAGAAGGACACAAGATGTATACTAGTGAGCAGAGAAAGAAATGGAAATTAGGAAAGTTTAAACAACAACAAAAATGAAGAGTTTTGAACAAGGAGAAGAAACCAGATAGAAAATTCCAGAGAGTAACGGATATGGATACGGAATCTGACGATGAAAATATAGAATGAAGATATGCTCCTACCTAGGGAACTAACTCTCTGAGCAAAATCGTGAAGAACAAGGAGGAAGAAATCATGAAACAGCGCGGGGAAGAAAACAAGAGTTAGAAGAAGAAGCTGAAACGGAAAATGGAGGAGTGTGGAAAGATCTAACTGAAAGATGGAAGAGCAAGTAAGTAATATGTAAATCGAAATAAAGGAGAAACGGAAGAAAACAGAAGATGGGAAGAAGTGGAGAGAAGCAGAGAGGAGATAACAGAAGGGTAGTGCATAACCTACCGGTGGAGGAAATCGAGGATTAGAAGCAAAAACGAAAGGAAGAAGTGACGGTTATGTGAAGAAATGAGGAATGAATGAACTAGGAAAGTGTTGGGTACAAATATGAAACCCTAGAAACTTGTACCCCTTAGTGTCTACCCCACTATAGCCTACACAGACTAAGTCATATATGTCTGACACACCCCCATAGGCAAAGTGGGGGAGAACAAGGGGTCACAAGACCAGTCAAGCAAAGCAAAGCAAGCTCAGGGTGGATCACAACGTCACCACACATTCCGAGCACAAGTTCAAAGGCCACAAGGCCAGTTCACATGCAGGATTATAAATCAAGGTGAACAAGCAAGACAGTGATCGCAACCTAGCAAGGGCAAGCATGCAGGTGCAGGTATATATAGATCACAGTACAAGCAAAGTCAAGAGGTAAGCAAGTGAGGCCAGGTAGGCACAAGACCTAACATAATACAGAGCCGCTGATGATCACAAGGCTGAAGTGCCTTGGTAAATATATCAGCAGTGTTGGCCTGAGAGGCCACGTAAGCAAGGCGCAGCTGACCACGTTGCTGCAGCTCACGAGCAAGGAAGTAGCGAAGAGCAATGTGCTTCGTTCTGAGCTCCAGTCTGTGCTCCTGACACAAGGCCAGCATGGCCTTGTTGTCTACGTACACAACTGGAGGAGAACGAGGCGGCTCTCCCAGGTCGGTCAGCAGGTAGGTGAGCCAGCGTAACTCCTGTGCAGCCATGGCCCCTGCGTAGATCTCGGCCTCACAGCTGGAGCCGAGAACAGAGGACGAGCAGGTAGACCGCCACGAAGCAGAGCCGGAACCAAGGCTGAAGGTGTAACCCTGTGACGACCGCTGAGTAGCCAGGTCGTCAGCCCAAGAAGCGTCTGCGTGACCAGTGAGGACAACTCGAGCCCGTCCTCCAAGCAGGAGCCCCATGCCCGACGTACTGCACAAGTAGCGCAACACCCTCTTAGCAGCATCCATGTGCTCCTTCCTGTGTCGGCCAGGAGCAACATAGAGTGCTAGGATGCTAAGAGGGTAGGCTAGGTCAGGTCGAGTGCAGGTCATCAGGTACATAAGGCAGCCCACAAGCTCTGGATACGGGCCACTCGGCTCTACGGACTCATCCGAAGGCAGAGCTGAGAGCGAGTGGCGAGTAGGCAGAGGAGTGGGCTGTGGCGAGGAGTACGTGAAGCGGAAGCGCTGAAGGACCTGCTGCACCATGTGTGACTGAGTCAAGGTAATGGTGCGCTGTGCTCTGTCCCGGGTGATTCGCAAGCCAAGATAGCTTGTCAGCTCACCCAGGTCTGTGCACGTGTGTCTCTTCTGCAGCTCCGACTTCACGTGGGCGAGTGCCTCAGTGTCAGCAGTAGCAAAGACCAGGTCGTCTACGTAAACGAGAACGTAGAACGGCGGCAGAGTGGTGTCGGTGCGTAGAAACAGCGACGGGTCAGCAGTAGAAGGAGCAAACCCAAGAGCAGCAAGAGTCGTCCTCAGTGTGTCGTGCCACTCACGGGGTGCATGGCGGAGACCGTAGACTGGCCGTCGGAGGCTCCACTGGGTGCCAGGAGGAAACGACCCAGTGAAGCCAGGTGGGCGGCGCAGCCAGATCTCCTCGTGCAGGCTGCCCTGTAGGAAAGCGGTGCTGAAGTCAAGAGGGTGGAGCTCGTAGTTTCGCTGAGCGGCGACGTGCAGCAAAACCCGAAGTGTGGTCATCTTCGGGGTAGGGGATAAGGTCTGGAAGAAGTCAACTCCCTCATGCTGACTGAAGCCTCGTGCAACGTAACGCGCCTTGAAGACAGGCGGAGAACCCGGCGGCCGCTTCACCCTGAAAACCCACATGCCACTGACGATGTTCGCCCCAGGCGGGGGAACCTCGTCGACGTAGGTGCCTGTGGACTTCCAGGAAGCCATCTCTGCGTCCATGGCTGACTGCCACTGAGAGGAGTAGGGACCCTCTATCGCCTCTGCGTAAGAGCGCGGGGTCGGGATGTCTGGTGCATGTTAGAATGTAGAACTGAACGAGAATGTGTGAAACTAGGCAGCAGGGTGATACAAGTAGGAAACCCTAGCAATGTTGTACCCCCTAAGGCTAAACCCACTATAGCCTACACAATATGAACATGTATAATGTTTGACACACCCCCATAGGCTAAGTGGGAGACAACCAGATGGTCACAAGACCAGTCAAAGCAAAGCAAAGCAAGCTCAGGGTGGATCTCAAGGAAACCACACAAATTCCGAGCACAAGCAAGTGGTCACAAGACCAGTTCACATGCAGTTTGATAATATAACAAGAGTAAACATGCAGGTATATATATATAGAGATCACAGTACAAGCAGAGTCAAGAAGTGAGCAAGTGAGGGAGAGTAGGCACAAGGCCTAGAACAGTACAGAAACGCTGATGGTCACAAGGCTGAAGCGCCTTGGTGAACACATCAGCAGTGTTGGCCCGAGTGGCCACGTAACGCAGACGAAGCTGACCACGCTGCTGCAGCTCTCGAGCAAGGAAGTAGCGCAGAGCGATGTGCTTCGTCCTGTGCTCCAGTCTGTGCTCCTCACACAAGGCAAT